TCTTGGTTACCTAGTACACAACCACAACCGTGACGTTACTCAGCAATCACACATTGTCCTGGTCTAGTCATTCTCCCATTCCTAGATGATTTCAGTCCTCCCCCTCTTCTTCAAACATCTAACACCTCTTCATGCACCTCCACTCTCAGCCAACGACCTTGACTTCTACTTCACTGAGAACAAAGAAATCGAAGGAAAACGTTCCAGTATCCCTGTTAGCAGCATAAACACCCACTACCAAGAACTACCGCCTTGACTGTCAATGATTATGCCAATATTAAACCCAGTCCACTGAGTATTATATTCCACCATCTCTCACCTACTTAAGGAATTTATTCTGGGAACTGTTCCCCTTTCTCCCCCAAAATGATTAATTTTTGCCTTACTACTACATTCAACATTCAGGTATAACAAAATTCCTCTTTTTTAAATACTTAACATTCCCAAACTTACTGCCCTATTTTTCGAACACTTTTGCACAAAGGTCCTTAAAAATTTTGTCTTTGCTTACTATATACAATTCTTCTCTTTTCCTTCTCTTGGCCCAGCTGAAACAGGGCTTTATCTTCATATTCTATTGAATCTCAACAATGACTTCCATGTTGCTAACTCCAGTGTTCAATTGCCTTATAACATCCATTAACAACATTTCGCATGATTATTTCCTCTGCTTGAAAGACTTTCCACACACGGCTTCAAGATCAGCTGACTGTCTTGATTTTCTTCTCCACTACGTTTTCCTTCATCTCTTCTAATATTTCCCCTTATCTAGACATCATAATTGAAGTGCCTCAAACTTCAGGCCATGTTTCTCTTCTCCTCTCCAGCCTCTCTCTCTAGGTCACCTTGTAGTCAAACACCATCTGTACCTTGTACAACTTTAAATACCATCTGATACCTATGACTCTTAGCTTCATATCCGTGGTCCAAATTATGTTCCTGGCCTCAAGAGCCAAATAGCCAAATTTCTACTGCCTTACCTTTTAGGAAAGATTAACTGAAGTCTTTATCTTCCTTATTAAAACTGCTTCAGCTATATTCTTTCTATTTCACTCAAAACTAATTCCATTTCTCTAACACACTGGCTACAAACCTTAAAGTCATGTAGGACTCCTCTCATGTTCTACCATAGAGGAAATATCATTGGCTCACTCTTCAAAATACATCCAGAAGTTAAACACTTTTGAACCTACTTAGCGTTACCATCCTTGCTCGAATCATTATCTTCTATTATGTTATTCTAATAGTCTTATTCCTCCATCCTTGCTCCCCTTAAATATATTATTCTCAACACACTTGCTATCATGGTCCATTGAAATCCAAAGTCATATGATGTTTACACATGTGGGTCCGATTTATTTCACTTATGAGTATGGTCTCTAGTTGCATCCATTTACCTATAAAAGGCTCGAGTTTATCTTTATAGCTGAGTAATACTCTATTGTATAAAAATACCACATCTTTTTTATCCATTCCTCAGTGGACGGGCATTTGAGTTGTTTCCAAGATTTAGCTATGGTAAATTGCACCACTATAAACATGGGTGAATGTGTATCATTGTGGTATGATGTTTTCACTTCTTCTGAAAAAATAGCCAGATGGCGAATAGCTGGGTTGAACAGGACTTCTAACCCTAGTTTACTGAGGAATCTCCAGATTGATCTCCACAGCGGCTGCACCAGTCTACACGCCCACCAGCAGTGGAGAAGGGTTCCTTGTTCCCCTCAGCCTCACTAGCATTTGTTATTGCTTGATTTCTTGATGATATCCATTCTTTCTGGGGTGAGATGAAATCTCAGTGTTGTTTTAATTTGCATTTTTTGAATGACTAATGATACTGAACATTTTTTCATATATTTATTTGCCACTTGTATTTCTTCATCTGAGAAGTGTGTATTCATCTCAGACGCTCATTTCTGGATTGGGTCTCCAAATTAAAATAAAAACAAAGTCATAGCATGTTATTCCTCTAACAATCCAAAGTAGTAACACCCTATTTCAGAGAAAAGACACAATCTATAATTGTGGTCCACAAGGCCTCAAGATCTATTATTTCTTGTCTCACCACATTTCCTACACTCCCCTCTCCCTCTCCCTCCACTCACTCCTCCTTGCTGTAATGGCACAGTCTGAACATGTCCTACAATTCTTTGCAGCAGATGTACCCTGTGACTGGAATGCTCTATCTCCAGACATCAAAGTGGTAGAGTAGCAACCTGCTTTAAGTCTTTGTTCAGATGTCACCTTCTGAATGCTGTCTATCCTACTTTCTTTGTAAGGGTAAAATATCACTGTGGGTATCGATTTGAGGGATGCCCTATCTGATTTATAAAACACAAACTTACTGCTTTAAACAATATATAGTAATTCTTTATAAAATTGCCAAATTTAACAAAGACTTATTAAATTTTAATTTTTCATTCAAGATTTACTAAGGGCATTGTTTCCACTAACAAATAAAATGTATTTGTAATACCTATTTCAGTTATTTAAAATAAACTGGATAAAATTAAAACTGTAATACCACTTAGTAAAAATTAACAAGGTATTTATCACTTCTTATAAAAGAAGAGCTTGAAGGTCTCAAAAAGGTAGTTTATTCTTTTAAGCTGTATTACACATTATATCTGAAATAGTTTATTCAGTTCATGTGGTGATTGTCTTGGTTACTTTTCTCTCGTTGCTGAAACAAAATACCCAACGCCCAAAATGAAGGAAGGAAAGGTTTATTTAGCTTACAGTTTGTGGAGGTTTCAGTCCATACTTGGCTGGCACACAGAAAGAAGCAAAGCAACAAGAGCAAGGGGGGAATGGCAGCTGAACAGCAAAGCAGCCAGAGCAAAAGGGAGGAATGGCGGCAAGCAGCTTCTTTCCCTGCCTTACATTGTAAACAGGCTACCCCCACCTAAGGGGCGTGTAGCTCTCACATAATCTCCATGCCCTCCTCTTCCACAGGCTCAGGATGTATACAAAGTAAGCACCCTGGCTTCCTGCTGAGTCACTTAGCCAAACCTCTAGACTTCCCAAGTTGACACAATGTATCAACCATAACAGTGATCAAAGCCTTTACTCAATGATTATGAAAGATTAAACTCAACATGATCACAAATTCTTAATAAGAATTAAGTATTGGGATGTAAACATTAGGAACAGCAACCCCACAAAAAAAGGAAGGGGATCAAGACGTGGATGGAGGTGGGAAGGCGGGTAGGGAATGGGGATGAGGATAGGAATTAAGATGTGGTATGGGCATATACTCACTCCACACAAGAAATGTGAACACACTGCAAACATGTACTAATAAAGAAAATGAACTGAAAAAGAAAACTTTGAAAGCCAGGTTTTTAAATCACCATTATCAAGTAGGAAGAGCTATTATCTACCAACCTGGTAACTATCTTTTATTGTCATGATACTGTCCATAGGGGTTATCTGCATATAAAATCAAATTACCCAGTATGAACCAATCTGCCATTAAAACAAGTCATTAACTAACTAACCAATTCTACACCCACCTGGAAACATAGGAATGTTTTATAAAGCACCATGAGAAAACAAAAGGTTTGAGGTTTTCAAAAGCAAAGTAGAAAAAGAAAACCTGATGCTCCTACAAAAGAATGCATATGCCGGACAGCAAGAATTATAAAATACCAGGTGGTGGCACACTCCAATATCCTGACTAATCAGGGAGCTGAGGCAGGAGGATTGCAAATTCAAGGCCAGTGCAGGGAACTTAGTGAGACCCTGTCTCAAAATTTAAAAATAAAAAGGGTGGTGATGTAGCTCAGTGGTATAGCAGCCCTGGATTCGATCCCCAGTATCATCAAAATTTTTTTAAAAAGCATAAAGCAAGAAGGAAAATCTAACAAAGTCCTTGATATATTTTACATTCACTAAGATCCTTAGAGGAGAACTGGACAGCAAGGAATTGCAGTTCATAAATTGATGTGTTAATTGATGACAAAAATGGGCCATAACCATAGTATTTAATATTTCATAGCCATTTTCACATTCACTGTGGTTTCATATATAGCACAGCCTTTTTTTTCCCATGGAGACATCTGCAGCTATTTAACAATCAAATTATACCACTTAGAATTACATTAACTAAAAATTATTAAAATATCAACTGTGAGTTCATTAACTAATATTTCTATCTACAGAATATACACCCAGCAAACCACAGCGAATAGCTCAGACCTTCTCCATTACAGCCTTATTGACATTTGGGATTTGATAATCTTTCACTGGGCATGTGATGGAGGAGCTGTTCAGTGCACTGGACAATGCTGAGCAGACTCCGGAGACCTACGCACCCACCAGCTGTAACTGGAGACATTGCCAACTGTCTCCTGTTGGGTTGGGCAAAATCGCTCCTTAATGAGAACCATCCACAGACAAAGAGAGGGAGATGGAAGGAAGGGCAGGAAGGAGGAAGGGAGAAAGATAGGGAGAAAAGGAGGAAGGCAAGGAGGAAAGAAGGACTTACACTACACATTCTTAAAGAGCTAATAAACCTATATAAATTAAATTTTGAGTTGGTGATTTCTAATGGATCTTATGTATAGGCAAAATATCTTTTAAAAAATAAATCAATATTTTGTATGGTGAAAACAGTAACACGCCATCAATCTAAGGTAAGATTCTATTGTTCTTAAAATGAACAAAAATTAAATAGCTTTCTCCTTATGTCTTATTTCTATCTTAAGAATAACACCCTACCTTCCTGCTGTTTCCCAGGAATAAAAACAACTGCAGTCTTTCTTTTCAGTTTTGAAGGCAAGAGAAGAGCTTTTTTTCCTCTGACTCTACAGGTGGTTCCTTAAAGTGCTCTCCAGGTGACCTGAGGTGACTGACAAGTCTATTCTGCATTTACAAACAAGTTTAATAGGACCTGCATTTAACAAGAGTGATAATTTGTTATAGCAAACCAGAATTAATTCACTAATAACCTAGACACTACTCTGTCAAGCTTCTCATCGGATTACTCTTTAGCTTACCATAGACGTAACTGATCGTGCATCTTCTTCATAATTTACTACTGGAGGTGGCTCTTTCCCATCATTTTCTTGCACTTTTTGCTCTAATAATTCTTTTTGTGCTGCAAACTTTGCCTCAGTGCATCTCAGCTGCTGGACAGATTGTTTCAACTCTTCAAGAGTCTGTTTTTGGCTGAGCAGAAGCACAATACTACAAGAGAATAAATCAAATATAAATTATTTCAACTTAAGAAGTAAAGATATTAATGGACCTTATATATTTGTGGATTATGCTTTTGTTTCCTTTAATTTTCCTCTTCTAGGAATCTTTCAGAATAATAATATGAAAATAAATATATTTTAAGTGATCACAATAGTTATTAAACATTGGCATTAGGAAAAGGAAAGAAAGTGTCTGGAAGCAGAAACCAAATTCAAGGTACTTTCAAAGATATGATGATCTATTACACACATTTTCTTTTACAACTAAGTCATCTAACTCACATAGTAGAGAGACTCAGGACCACATGTGCAACTAAAATGAATGAAAATGACTAAATGAGAATCTTAGATTTATTTCAGATCTCAACGGTAATAAATGAAGGGTCAGATTTTTGCCTAGGGTAAAATAAATCAAGGTGAGAACCCAGGCGCCAAGCTGTGTGTAGGTCTGAGGCATGCATGTTCCGAGTCAGGGAGGCATGTGTGTTTGTTATGACAAAGACGGAAAGCTGAGCGTCACTGAGGGAATGCCACTGTGGGAATCCAAACATATCCCCAATATTAGTAACATAAAAATAGTGTATTTCCCCGTCTCTCCCATACAAAACTACCACTTGAAGACTGCCCTCAATGAGAATTTCAAACCAATTTACACACATGAAGGCCACAGAAAACATATCGGTAGTGGGAATGCCCCCAGAAATAGTCTATAGCTATAACATTAATATCTTAAAAGAACGGTGCCAGATACTACTGAAAGTAAGTTATTAATATGCAAAGGACCATAGATTAGGAAGCTTTAGAATCAGAAAACACAGTAAAAACATGTTACCTTCTGAAACTAAAACTTAAAAAGGCCAAAACAAAAATGGAATAATTACTCGTAGGCACTAAGAGATTTATTTAAAAATAAGCTGTGGACTGATGTCTTAAGAACTAAATTCCAATCTAATTAAGCAGGGTGCAACCTCAGTAACTACTACCATATCTCCCTGAAAACAAGACCTAGCTGGAAGATAAGCCCAGGCATGATTTTTCAGGATGCACCTAATATAAGCCTTATCCCAAAAATAAGCCCCAGTTAACAGTCCACCAGATGGACATATTTAGCATATGGAGGGCAACACATGACAGACACACTGAATGATAAAGTAATAATATTAATTTCTAATTAAATATAAATACTATTAATGATATTACTCAAAACAAATGACAATACATAATTAAATATTTATATATACCCAAGAGGCACCTTTGGAGGAGCAGTAAATGCCTATGTAAACAGATAAACTCCAGACTTACTGTTGAATGACCAGAGTGCAGACACAATGCATAAATAATGTATACACTTGATAATGAACACACATGGCTGTGTCTAGTATGAATCTTTGTAATTCAATACATTGTGTTGTATGAATGTATTTAAGGTACTCATGTGAAATAAACACTTTCTTAATTTTGATGCCTGCAGTTTTCCATCACTTTTGCCAGTGTCCTAAGACTTTATGTAAGGCTGAATTTTAAAATGTAAGACTAATTAATCTGGTGAAGGAATTTTCAAGGCAGCTAAACATTCAGAGCTGTTACTTTTTGCTCACTGCTGGGACAAAATACCTGACGCCCAGAATTAAGGATGGAAAGTTTCGTGCTATGATTCCAATACAATATTTCAATGAACTGAATGATTATGTGCTGCCAAAATTTCTAAATTGAAATCATAATCCCCATAACGGTAACTAGAGGTGGGGGTTTTGGGTGATAACTAAGTCATGAGGGTGGCCTCCTTATAAACAGGATTAGTGCCCTTAAAAAAGATTCAAGATAACTCTCCCACCCATATTCTGGGATGTGAAGATGCAATGAGAGGCAGCAGTCTGCACCCCGGAAAGGGCTCTTAAAGAACACACCCAAGTTGGCATCCTGATCTTGGGACTCCAGCCTCCATAACAAAGTAAAATTGGGAAGTAAATTCTGTTTCTGGGTGTTATAAACCACCCAGTCTAGGGTAGTTTTTTTATAGCAGCCCAAACTGACTGTGACAGAAATTTAATAACAAACAGTAAAAAGAACTATATTATAAACAAGAGAAGTAGGACTCCTAATACTCTAAGTGGTTTAACAGGATAGATGGAGTTGTCATTCCCTGAAATAACTAATACTAATGAGATAAATAGGTGAGGCTGGATTAGACTGTACAGAGAGATTTTTATTTCATGGGGAACATGGGGTACTTCTAAAGCATCCAAAGAGACATTTAAAGTAGGGAAGAAATATGAGAGTAGCAAAGGTGGGTCATCATTGGCATATCACCTAGGGAAAGACTTCAGGAAAAAGAGTTACACAGCCTTGGGCATGCCTTCAGTAACTCCAACATGGACTGGCTGAGTGGAAGAGATCTGAGTTTGCACAGGGAGAGACTGAAATGAGTAACTGACATCCTGAGTTCCAATGGTCAAGAAAAAAGAAGGAACATGACGTCAGTAAAGTCAGATACTCTTAGAGTTCAAGTAAGATAGTAGCTAAATTTAAATACCGACGTAAGACATTAGCAATCTCAGAGATACCTATTTCTACAGGGCAAAGGCAGAAAGAGAGGGAGACAGAGAAGGAGAGAGGGAGAGGCTGACTGGGAAGTGAAATGAGTGAGCACAATTACCCAGAACAAATTTAAGAGAACAGAAGCTAAACATAGCAGTTGGGGTCGGGAGGAATTGAAGATCAATAAAGGGCAAAAGATTTTTATGATCTGAAGAGAAATCAGAGTATGGAGATCAATAAAGTGTTTGGGGGGGGTTAATGGTATAGTTCAGTGTAGAACACTAGCCAAGCATGCAGGAGGCTCTGAGTTAGAGTCATAGCACTACAAAAGTAAATTAATTAAATAAAGGGGAGGAGATATTGGGGAAGTGCAGAGAGGTGGAGATCGTTAATTTTTGTCTTGTTTTTGGACTCTAGACAAGTATATTTAAAAATGAGTCCAAAGACCCAGTTGAGAAGAAAAAGCAAACATAATATATATAAATAATATAAAATTCCTGGGAAGTAAGGGATAATAGGATATCAAAAACAAAATCACAAGGAATAAATGAAATGGACTTAGAACAAGCAACATCTATTGAAATAAGGAAAAAGAATAGGTCCTAACATGGGTGGGTTTAGACAACTAGTTCCCAAAAATAAGGCAATTGTCAACTAATGGTTCAAATTTTTTCTGCAGTGTACAAATCCATCTAGTGATTGCAATAAAGAAAATACAGTAAATGGATAAGAAATTCGACAGAAGTGAACAATATTTGAAAACCTGTGCAGAAAGTAAGAGCAAGTATAGATCAAGAGAAATCCATTATAAATCCTCTGAGGACACTGATAAATCAGACAAGGTCTGTGAGCGTGATAGCAAGAAATGTAGATGGGCCACTCCGGATTAGAGAAACCACACAACAGCACTGCTATAGAATCAAGCTCTTACCAGTCAGATCAGCGAATTGAAATTTTAGGTGAAAACTTCTATTTTGAAGCAGTAAAAAAGATGTCATTAGTAAAACACAAGAATTTAATAAGACAAAGTAAAAGGACCCAGCGAGATCAGTCAGACACACAACAGAAAGAAAAAAATATCAACACAGGATATCTCAGAGACTTTTATAGGTAAAGCAGATTACTATTGGCTAATATGTTTGTTCCCTTCTAACACAGTAAAACTAATTTCTAACATAATATTAGTTTATACTTTTTAAGCTAAGAAATTTACAGTGTTTCTGATAAAAATGGATGTGGGAAAATAAAGACAGCTTTTAACAAAAGATTCTTCAGAAAATATTTCAAACTGTTTTAAACGTTGAGACATAAAATCAGTATACTATATTTTTAAAAAGTCATTTTCATAGAGTCCTAGAAAATAACTGAACTACACAAAGTTTTAAACTTAAAAATTTCCATTTCCAGAAATGTTATGCCTATAATATCATGTAACTGACATATTTCTGTAAAACTGCATCAATTAAACTTTCCACCTTCAATTTTTTTTTTCTTTACTCACTCAGACTTATTTATACAGGACTTAGAAGATTCTTCGATTTTCTTCTCTAGCTCCAGGACAGCCTCCTCTTTATTTAAAAGCATCTGCTGTGTTTGCATAAGTTCTTCTGCTAAATTTTTCAACCTATAATGAACAATTTCAACATTATCAATCAACACATTAATTATGTTGACTTTACACATATTTTTAAAAAACCATTCACACATCTAAGCTTATAATATCCAAAACAATAGATACATGTAATTTAATTTAAATTGAAATTTCAGTTCCTTGGTTCAATAGCCATGTCTCAAGTGCTACACAAAAACAGGCAGCTGCTTTATCAGTAGGCACAGAAAAGAACATTTCAATATTCACAGTACTCTTGGGCAGTGTTGGTCTAGAATCTTATTTCTTCAAATAGAGAAAGACAAATGGAAACAAAGTACTAAATGGAAAAAGGAATACAAAAGTAAAAGATACCTGTCATATCCCAGATGTGTACAATGGAAAAACCATGCTTTCTGTCTTTAGACAAGTGTGTATTCACATCCTGCCTTTGCTACTTCTTATCTGAGACACTGGACAGATTATTAAGCCCACTGAATCCATTCTCTCACTGATTCTATCAGTATATAACACCTGCCTCGTGGCACTGTTTGAAGGAGCAAATGAACAAACGTACTATATATTTACTGACTGGCACTTGGTAAACATTGACTTAACACAAACCATTATAATTTGCACATGCTATCTCATTTAACTTTCATAATAATCATGAGGTAGATAATACTGAACTTATTTTAAAGAAAAGAAAGTGATATTCAGTTGTGTGGCAGTTTAAATTGATGGCAAGCTATTTCTAAATCCCTATATTACAATAACACTTTAGAAAAGTATTCTATATAGATTTGAAAAGAGTATTATACACCAAATGAATACGTACACACAGACCAAATAATTTATGGCTGCAGACAATGCATTTAGTCCCTGATGGAAATATTTCTACCATAAAAACATACATACCTCTCATGTAGTGTTAAAATATTTATGTTCAGCTTTTCAAGGCAAGATATGAACCCCAAAAGATGTAAAAGAAAGTACTAAATAATCTAACTTTATAAAAATTTAAATTTATTGAAAGTTAAAGAAATCATAACCCAAAATCAAAAATCAAACTTACAGTCTTACTGAAATGTTTGTAGTACAAATTATGAACAAAAGCCCTCATACTGAAGAAAAACTCTCACAAGACAACCTAACACTGAGAGACAACACAGTAGGAAGTTCAAGAAAAAATTCAAATGATCAATAAGCATGTGGAATTATTCAGTATGCAACCCAAAGGCAAATATCTTTAGGTTAAACAAACAGCAAATTACCTTTTACCTACTAAAACTGACATGTATGGAAAAGATCGATAATATCCAGTAACTACATTGAAAAAAATAGAAACACTTATATACTGTTGATGTGAAAAAATCAGTACAAATTTTTCAAAGGTCAACTTGAAACTGTTTCTCAAATTTTAAATCAAGATATGCTTTGTCCATCTACATACCTGTCTTACCAAAAACATGCACAACATGCACAAAATCTGTTTGTCTGAAGATGTTTGTTACAACACTGGTTATGAAGCAAAAACTAGAGAACATTTAAATGTCCATCAATAGGACAGTGGCTGAGTAAATTTTAATTGACCTATGATATAGTAGAGCATCTAATGCCACTAGAAAGAACAGGGTACACATAGGAAAGATTCTTCCCAGACATAATTTTCAATAAAAGGTAAGATGTAGAAGAACACACTGTTCCAACATATATATTAAAGTACATGTATGTGTACACATGCATTGGACAGAATTTTGTCCCCAAAATTTATCTGTTGAAGCTCTGCCCCCATATGATAATATTTGGAGATGGAGCCTTTGGTAGGTAATTGGGATTAGAAAGTTATGAGGGAATGCTCCTTATGATGGAATTAGTTGCCTGTAGTTATTTCATTTCTTTCTTTCCTCATTTACATAGAAAAAGAGATCCTGTGAGCACAAAGGAAGAAGGCAGACATCTATAGGTCTGAAAAAGAGCCCTGACTAGGAACTGGAGCAGTTGGTATCTTAATCTTAATCTTGGAATTCTTAGCTTCCATAATTCTGAAAAGTAAATTTGTTATTTAAGCCACCCTCTCTATTGGTAATTAGTGTGGCAGTCCAAGCAAACTGATGCTATCAGTGTATATTTATGCACATGTGTTTGAGAGAAAAACCAGATTACACGAACAAAATTTTTACCAGTGCTCTGAGAGACATGTCATTGGAGTATACTATGACTTTTGACAAAAAAAAAAAGCCTTTCATTGTTGACTCATATCTATAATGTTTTAATCTCATAATAAGAATGGATTTAATTTTTAATTATTAAATGAGGTAATAGAGATGAAAGGGACAGAAAAACTATGACACATTGAAAAACCTCAAATTGATTGTTCCATATTTATTTAGAGTTTAAAAACATAATAAATCTCAATAGGTTTCTGAGGACATTAGGATATAGAAAAATAAAATCAGTGATATTTATATTAATAATCCAGAATTGTCAGAACAGGTCAAATTAATGTGATCATTCTTTTCTAAGATGATTTTTTTTTCTAAGATTTTCCTAGATTTGATGAGAATATCTTATAAAACACATCTTATAGAAATAAGATATTCTCATCAAATCTAGGAAAGTTATGCTTTTGACTATGATGGAAAACAAACTTCAGTTATCTGGAAGTTTACTTGCATGGAAGAGTTCACATTATGACTATCATATAAAGAAAATACTATGTTAAAATTATATAAAATTTATTTTATTTTATTTATTATATAAAAGTTAGAGAGCAAATAATACATTACGCTTTGATGTTTATAAAACTCTGGCCTTCTACATGATCTCCTTTAAATGAAGATAGTACACACTGGGATCTGTTTCTGAAACTGTCTAGCACTTTCTACCACCAGTCTGAACCAGGCTGTCATCAAAGTCTTAGCCACGTTACATCACAGTGGGTTCAACACAAAGTTGCTTCTTCCCATGTTTAACCACTTTTTTCTCCTCTGTTCTGTTTTTTTCTTCTTTGCTCTATGATCTATTTCTTATTCTCTTCTCTTCCTGACTTACCCTCCACCTCTCTTCTCAACAATGCCTTCATTCATTCAAGTGAACCCTTACTAAAGACTTTCCCTGTGTCATTCTGCTGGACACCAGGACTAAAACACTAAACAAATTTGCCCTCAGGAAGCTTACAATCTATTAAAAGACTTCAAAGAATAAAGGTTAAATGGTTTAAAAGAGTGAAATTTTGTGGGAAAAGTATTTCTGCTTTCTTACCACTATCCTATAAAACACCTGAAGTATGTGGATTAAAGAAAGAGAAAAACATTCTAGTAAATTTAGTTTATCTACAGGTGACATAGTCAGTATAATAATAGTTTGCAGTTTTCAAACTACTATACCCCATCATGCTGTTACTACATTTTCTGTGCAATTATAGCAATTAACTGTTCAAAGGCGCTTTCTTTATAGTTCAAATTAAACATTTTGGTAGTTTAATGCAAAATAGCTAAATATTATAAAATAAAGGCAAGAAAAAATCTACTAAGTGACATAATAATTGCCAGTTAGAGTGAAAATACAGTTTGAAGGCACTTTATAAATAAGCACTTAAATGTAATTCTTCTAACAAACTACTATTATCTCCATTTACATTTGAGGAACTGAGGTACAGAGAATATAGAATTTGGGCAAGGTCACAGAGCTTGTCAAATGGAAGGCCTGGTAACAGAACCTAAACAGCTTAAACTCTGAGTCTATTTTCTTAATTAATATTCTGCTTTAAGTAATTCTAATAGAAAGTATCCTCTATACATGCTTCAATAAGTGCATAAAGATATAAACACAAAGGTGTTTATTGAGGCTTACTGAGAATACCTTATAATGTAAGGCATACACAGAAAAGACTTATAATGTAAAAAATGCAGAAATGTCTTCAGCCAAAAGTAAGTTCTTCCTCATTCATAAAAAAAAAAAAAAAAATCACACTGGAGAGAAATCTTGTGAATGTAAGAAAGGTTCCATTCTGATGTCACACCTCATTCAGCAGAGAAATTATAATGTGGAAAACCCCTTTGCCTGTAAGATATGTGGGAAAATCTTCAGCCACAAATCCAATCTCACCAAGCAAGAGCACTTTCATAGCAGGGAGAAACCTTTTAAGTACAATGAATGTGGGAAAGCCTTTAGTGAAAAAACAGTGTCTCCTTAAACACTGAATGACCACATTGCAGAAAAGCTTTCTGAATGTAATAATTATGGAAAATCCTTTATCCAAAAGGAAAACCTTCTTATCCATCAGACAATTCACACTGGAGAGGACCTTTTCGAGTCCAAGGATTGTCAGAAAGTTCATCGTTCAGAAGTCAAACCTCATCAGACACCAGAGAATTGATATGGGAGAGAAGTCCTTCATATGTAAGCAGTGTGCAAAAACCTCTAGCAGCAGAACAAATCTTACTGGAAGTGAGAAAAATCATGTTGGAGTGAAATTCTTTAAATGTAATCAATGTGGAACAACTTTTAGCCAGAAGAACCCCATAAAGCATCAAAACATTCTCAGTGGAGAGAAACCCTATGCATGTAATGAATGTGGAAAAAGCCTTCTCCCAACAAACATCACTGACTGTCCATGAGAGGACTCATTCAGGTGATAAGCCTTATGAATACAATATATGAGGAAAAGCCTCTCAGAGCTCATCTCTTACTGGGCATGTGAGAAGCCATAAAGGTGAGAACCCCTATGGTTATAATGAAGCTTACTCCAATTTCTCAACCCTAGACCTGCATTTGAGAATACACACAGGTAAGAAGCCTTATCAGTGTAGTGAACGAAGAATACTTTTCAGCCTAAAGTCACACCACATTAGACACTAGAAAATTCATACGCATTAAAACTACTGTGAATATCTTCAAAATGGGAAAACATCCACCAGAGATTTGCATCTCACAGTACGTCAGAAATATTTTGAAGCAAAGTGAGGTGAACTTTAACAAATGCTAATACTTAGAGAATACCAACAGGTCATACTAAGAAAAAGACACTGGTA